AAAAAAAAAAAAAAAAATCAATAAAAACACATAAAAAACATATACTCAGGTGAGGATTTAAAAAAAAATAAAAAAACACCCTCGAGACAAAGGACCGAGTGTGCGGTCTCCCCCCAGGCTCCTTACTTTTACCCTGCTCTCTCCTAAGTTCCAAGGGCCCTTTTTTGCCTCTGTAACTTGTTTCCAGGGCCCATTTCTCCAAGGACCCTTCTTTTGCCTCTGTAACTTTCTAAATAAATGTTCTCTTATAGTTTGAGTCTGGCTCTGAATTCTTTCTTAGCCAGAACTCAGGAACCAAGGTCTAACTCCGCCAGTAACGAGCGCAGTGTCGCCGGTAACATTTCCACAATGCCAGGACTTAGAGGAGACTCCCCAATGAGCCAACAGAGTGACGCTCAGGTTCCACTCAGAGAGGGGGCGCTTACATGACAGAAGCAAGCAGAGGGAGCCTCCAGAGCGAAGTCCCAGTCAGGGGCACGGTCTGCGGGTGGCCGGGGGGGGGCCGTCTCTGGCCAGTGGCTGCAGTGGGGCACCCACCTGGTGGAGTGGAAAGGCTCCCAGCGTGGCCCGCGGTGCAGCCACCTCAAGCACGGGGTGACCAAGCTCGGTGTCCTTATAACCCATCAGGGTGGGGTCCCAATTATATCAGTGTCCAGGTGGAGTCCTTATCCAAGTGTCCAGACGTGTGGTTCTGGGTGTTCCAGGACCCTCCTAAGGGTGTTCCTGCTACACGCCATTACCTCAGTCTGACAGAGCACTTGGCATACCGTCGCGGCTGACAGTGACCCCACAGCCCGCTGTCACAGGTGTCCGGAAGGCCTGCGCTGCTCGTGCGCCAGGTTCGCACAGCGCAGTCCACATACACTTCCCATCGCACTAAGCTGCCCACGGTATTCAGTACAGACACATGCTGTACAGATTTATGGCCTGGAGCTGTAGGGGAACAAGTCGTCACCCCAAAATATGCCTCTTTGGCATGAGAATTATTTTAGGCTGGTTAATTTTAAGAAACAGCAGATGAGGGAGGAGCTCTGAAAACCTAGGAGAAGTTGCCCTCCGTAAAAGACATTTACATTTGTAAGGAGGTGTCCATTGCAAGGGTGCAGCCCAGGTGCGTCAGGTGGGTCAGGACCTCGTCAGTGTTAATACTGAGGCCTGCGCGGAGACGGGGAACCCCGCGGAGATCACAGAGGAAACGCCCACCAGGCAGCCTACCCAGTGCACGGTGCAGCCTTGAGGCAGAGTGGGGACCTCAGCATGGGAGGAAAGGGGCACATCTCCTCCCCTTCTCCTTGCCCCTGGGAAGAGAGAAAACTCCCAGCAGGCAGGGACAGAGGTAGAGACCAGCAGGGGCTCCACGTACAGTTCATCAGAGACTGAACAGTGCCAGAAGTCTATGACCTCAGCGGGGAAAGCCGTCACACAGAAACACACACAAAAGACCGGGAGGAAAACTTCCAAATTCTCTCAGTGGTGCAATTTCAGAGCTTTTCTCTGTTGTTTACCTTGTTTTTCTATTTTTCTACAAGGTATATATGTTGCTTTTGTACCTAACACAGTTACACACATATACACATATAGAAACACACACCAAGAGCACAGCAGGTCAGCCCAGTGCTCATCCCTGCAGACCAGGAAGGTCACCTGCATGGAGGGACGAGGTGACAGCAGGAGTCAGCACCTGTCCCAGGAGAGGCTGGGCCTCCAAAGCTGCCCTATTAGACCAGGGGTGGGGAACGCCGGCCGGTGGCCACATACTGCCCAAGAAATCTTTTGGCCTGCCCCTGCCAAGGCAACCGCTGGCAGGACTTGAAATTCAATAAACCTAGCAGTTTTTTTCACAGCTAATTTTTAAGTTCATAGTTTTGGATGGCCCTCAAATGATGTTATAAATATCCAAATGGCCCTCCGCAGGAAAAAGGTTCCCGCCCCCGTATTAGCGCAGCAGCAGCCTTGCAGAGACCTTTCTCACAGCCACTCTCGGAGGGAGTGTTGAGCCAAAGTACAGTTCTTTTCCTGGTGTTGTGGATGAGCGAGCAGAGGGGAGACCAGGGTACAGGACCCCCGTTTCCTAACCCACCTTCTGGGAACAAAGCAGGGACTGGGCCCAGGTGTGGAGAGCCCACGTCCCGCGTTCTTTCCCTTTTCCTCCTGCAGGAGAGCTTCGCACACGCCTTCCTGCGGGATGGGCTTTCACTCCGTGGCTTCTTCCCCGGCAGTATTCTTGCCACTGGGCACACCCGGTGGGTGTCACAAGACCCCACCAACAACGCAGCCGCCGCCGGCAGGCTCCGCAGGGGCGGAGGGTCTGCCCAGGGCCGGAGGCTTACTTGCGCCCTAGAACCCCACAGGGCTCCTGCCCACCCTGCCAACTCGAAATCCACCCAGGCTGGCGGGAGAGCAGGGACGGGGCTACATTTTTTGTGGGTTTTGTGCTTTTTAAAACCCGCATTACTTTTAAATACAGAACGCGGAAAGAGCCCTATCCTAGTGGTAATATATAAATGAAGAAATAATAACCTCAACCCCAAGCTTCTGAGCACCACGGGGAGGAGCGTGTAGCACCGCGCGGAGGCGCCTCCAGGTCCGTCCCGGGCGCTCGGCCCCGCGGGCAGGC